CAAACCTGAAGGCAGCATGATTCCCATTACAAGGAGATCTAGAGAGGGACGCCTAATCTTTTCTGGAAGCCGGCATGTGGCTAAGGTGTGAAGTTTACATGACAAATTGGCAGGAGATTCGAAAGTTGACGCCCCTAATTTAGGGTTTGAGGTTTAGGGTTGAGGGGTTAGGTTAAAAGAAGAGGCCAGAAGGCTTCCAACGACACTTGAGCCATAGTCTAAATTCCTAGTATCCCCCTTAATAAACCCCATGGTACTCCACTATATAGTCCCCTATGCAACCCCCTTGAAGGAGTTTCGACCCTACACCCTAAACCCTGAACCCTATATAATCCCCCTTATAACGCCCGTTAATCAGTTTTGACTATAGATCACTTGAAGCAAGTCCTCAACCCTAAACCTTAAACCCAACAACCCTAAACCTTAAACCCTAAACCCTAAACCTTAAACCCTAAACCCTAAACCGTTCAAGGCGAGGTTCCTGGCTTCATAGCCTACCACCCTCAGCGCTAGACACGCGTTTTAAGGGTTTAGGATTTGGGGTTTATAGGGTTTATGGGGTTTAGGGTTGGGGGGTGTAGGGTTTAGGGTTTGGGGTTTAGGGTTTGAGGTTAAGGGTTTAGGTTTTTTTCTGAGCAAGGTTCAGGGTCAATAGGGTTTGGGGTTCAGAGGAGTTTTCGCCGGCTTTTGGCCTCATACCCTGCTTGGCTCGGGGTTTAGGGTAGTTCAAGATTTACCTAAACCCCAAAAGTAGGTAAAACAATAGCCCAAAACCCCTAAATATTACCCAAAAGGTCATTATTTTACATACTTTTGGGGTCTAGGTAGGCTTTAGCATTTAGAGTTCTGGGCCGAGGAGGTTCGAGTCTTTAGGTTTAAAAACCTGTCTTATATAGGAACTTTTAGAGCTTCAACTTTTCAGGCATTCGGGAAAATAACGCCTAAATAATACTACAACTGCCTATGCGGCTCAGGTATATACCCTCAATTAGGTCAGTTTGGTTTGGGGGACGGTATGGCTTGGGCTCGAGGATTTGGGGTCTGAACATCATGCCACTTAGCACCCCTAATTTCCAAAAATCACTTTTAGGTACTCATAGTGGAAATAGTAAACTCCCTGAAACCATGAGCCCCAGACCCTAAGCCTCGCAATCCATGAGCCCAAAAAGTTGTTCAGGTTCTAAGGTCCAAGCTAAGTGCCGAAGAGTGAAGTTGCGAGTCTAAAAGGTTACACCTAGTGCTAATCTATCCTTTAATGAGGGGATTCGCTGAGTCCTTCACATGTACCTAGTAATCATATGTTTACCCAAAACCTGTTCTAAAAGTACTACTACCCTGAACCCTAGGACCTAAATCTTGGATACTTGGACCCTGAACCCTGAGCCCTAAACCCTGAACCCTGCCCTTACGGTGCTTTAAAGTTAATGAGGGGGGGATGGGGCTCTCTGGGCAGACCATGACCGGCGCCGTAATGCTCCACCTGCCATGCAACCTCACAGAGGCTGGAAGAGACGTCATCAGGTTGTGGGGTTCAGGGATTAGGGTTCAGCCGGATTAGGGTTGCGATTTTGGGATGTAATGTTTAGTAATTAAATCAGGGGTTAGCGCTTAGGACTTACGGTTTCGTAGTGAGTTCAGGGTTCCGGGCCTTTGGTGCTGCCTCAGGGACAGAGTGGGGGTGGATCCATGTATTCCTCAAGAATGGTCACTGCACTCATTTCTGCACTCCACCTTGCGCACACAAAAAACTGCACTTGGAGGGTCACGGGGACTTAGTAAGCATACCAACAAGACCCCTTAGCCTCATAACAGTTAAAGTTTCGCCAAACTATTAACCTACTTGCGAAGTCCCCCTTAACCTTCAATTCCATTAAATTTCAGGGAGTTCTTTAAAGTTACTAATTCTTTAAAGTTACTAATACGTGGGTTTCACTCGCAATACCAGCGACATTTCCCTGCATGCCATGGAGCACGTCACCTTATACAGCCCTACACCCTAAACCCTCACCCTAAACCTGAAACCCTCAACACGTGGATAGTGGTTGAAATGTCCCATCGTGCACCCTCAGCTCTAGTCATCAAGAATGGCAACTACAGTAAGAATGGTAGTAATGGTAATTATAGCAGTAGTAGCAATAAGGGTAGCTATAGTAATAGTAGTGATAAGAGATTTTTCCTTCAGAGTTTGAAGTCGTCCTCCCCCGCCCGGAGGCTTGTTCAAGTGGGGGGGTACTTCTGTGAAGATACCTATCATGCTGTAAGCGCTGTCTTCATTTGTCAGGCTCTTGGGTATATAGGCTTTAGTGTCCGGCCGGTTGATGTAGAGGCCTGAGTGCGTCTAAGCCCTAAACCCTATAAAAACCCAGCCTTCATCCTTAAACTCCAAATCAAAAGCCCCAAGCCCTAAAACCAAAGCCCTAAGCCCCAAACCCCCTACACCCGAAGCCCTAAAGACCTTAACCCCCAACCCCACATCCTAAAGGCTGTGGGCAGACCAACTGGGTAGGCCCCTGGGATAGTTATCATTTTCCCTAATGGCTTGAATAAGGGCCCTATATGTATATATATATATACTAATATTTTTCAAAGGGTTTCAGGGGCCAACCCAGCCAAACAATTCCTAGCTGAGGCTCCAAAGTCGCTTCAGCCAGTGGCTCCACGTCTGCAGGGGCTCGGTGTTCACATTTGAGGACGCTTTGCGAGGGCGTTCTTACCCTGGAGTCTATATTCAGGAGTGTATAATTTTGTTTGTATTTGTATATATACATATATATATATATGCTATATATATAATATACATATGGCATCAAATTTGGGGGACCACAAGTGACAGCTCTACTATAAAGTTGATCGTTACCATGCCGTTTGGTTTGGGCTTGAGTTGAGTGCTTCTTGCGGAAGGTTTTGGGTTCAGGCGGTTAGCTTGCTATAGTATTTCCGTAAAGTTTAGGCCCCCTAAACCCTGGACTACCTGTGCAAGTCTTGAAAGTTCCCACAAGCAGGAGGACCCCAAATTCGAGGCAGGCAGAGTTGTAATTACATTTTTTGAGTTAGTTATATGTACGGCCCCTTAAGCGAATACTGGTGGGTGTATATATGCTGGAAATCAACATCCTACCATGTGTATTATGACCCTTGTTACTTCGATTCAGGGACCCCTAAACCCTGAAACCCTAGACCCTAGACCCTATAAACCCTAGATTTTAAACCTTAAGCAGCCCAGCATTTGATTCGTACCTTGCCGAAGGTTGCTTTTTTCTTGGGATGTGTTGAATATAGCTATCATAATATGACTATATCAGGGTCCCAATGTTAGGGGTTGGGGTTACTCAAGTCCTCCTGCTGTCCCGAAAAGTATTAACAACCAGAAGGGTCTGTAGACGCTGTATACCATCAGTACAACGCGCCTGCAAGTCGCAGACTTTGAAGTATTTATCGACCTGACACCCTCGCAGTTTCAAATTTAGGGCGCAGGGGACCTTCCCACGACACCGTGGACGATCTGTGTGCTCCTACAGGCTGATAAAGATTTCTACTTCCCCCTAAACCCGAAACCCTGAACCCTGAACCCTGGTCCTTAAACCCTAGACCCTACACCATGGTCCTTAAACCCTATTAACCCTAAACCCTAAACGCACGTCCAGCTTCACTGGGCAACCATTGACTGCCCCAGGTTTCCAGGACCCATAATCGGCTCTGATATTCCATAGGGTTTAGTGTTTAGGGTTCTCTCCACCCCTCTAACACTAAATATTCCGAATATACGATCATCTACCACAATGGGGAGAAATTAGTTTAAGGGGGGGAAACCCTAAACCCTAAACCGGGGGCTAATATGAGGGGGAGGGGATTAGATCCTGCAACTGCACCAGTCAATTTCAAACCGTCGGTCCCCAAGACTTTCAGACTGAAATCCTAAACCCTCAGAGCCCAAATCCTGAAACCCCCCGACCCTAAACCCTGAAAGTTGGAAACCCCATAAAAAGGCAGTAACCTAAACCCCAATCCCTAAACTAAACCGAGAAATCCTGAACCCCCCGAGGCCGTACTACTCCTTATGTTTTCTGCTTACTTCCAACCTCGAGGGTTTAGGGTTTACGGTAGACTCGACACAAACACGGTTTAGGGTTTACTTACTAGCTCTTCGTAGGGAATAAGGGAATCTTATCTAGGCGTTAGATTTGAGGTTTCAGGGTTTACTTTCTGGATCTTAATGTTGCACCCTGTTTAATGTAGGGGGCCCCCCCCCC